GAGATGGCTCAGTAGGTACAAGCACTTGCTAGTCAAGCCTGACATCCTGAGTTAAGACCCCTAGAACTCATGCAAAAACTAGATTCGGTAATGCCAGTGTCTGTAATCTCAGGGTGTCATGGGAAAACAGGAAACAGAGGCAGGAGACTCTCTGGAAGCTTCCAGGCCAGCTATCCTGGCTTTAGCATTGGCAAAGAGATGCTGTCTCAAACAAGGAAGAAGGAAGAAGAGGATCAGTACCTGAAGGTTGTCCTTTGGCCTCCACATATGCAGCGTGGCACATGTGCCCCCCCCCCATTTCATACACACACACACACACACACACACACAACTCTTCTGGGAATAGAGTAGAGCAAAGGAATTAATTAAGAAAGGATTTCCTTAGTCACATGAGAGACAGTAGCAGTTTGGACTTGCATGGAATTAGAAGCAGTAGGAATGTGCTTGTAATACCAGCACTGGGGAGCTTGAGACAGGCGGATCCCTGGGACTCCCTGGTGAGCCAACACAGCCAAATTGGTAAGCCCCGGGTCCCTGGGAGAGATCCCAGTTCAAAAAACAAGGTGGATGGCCACGTCTGGCCTCTGGATTCGTGTACACAGATGTACATGTACACCCACACACACATGAGCATGCATGCTTATACACATATACCCAAAAGAAGAGAAAACATAAATGAGTAGATATGATGTGTTATATCTTGGAAAGCAGAGTTAGAGGGAAGTTTCTAAGGTAATGCCTGGGTTTCAGCCCTTTGTGGCTGGGTTATGGTCACTAATGGAAGAAACATAGTTTTCAAGTATGTAGTGGATGAGGCAACATCAAGAATTTGATTTCAACTGTGGGCCTTAGAATTTGCAATGACCTTAACATACTCAACTAAACAGACCTATGGGCCTGGACTTCTGATATCAATAAGAAAGGTGTACATTTGAAAGACACTGAGCAAAGGATGTATTTGAAGTAATGGGCATGGATGAGATTTTGAAGCCAGTGATTCTGAACCCTCACTGCTCATTGGAATTAACTTGGGAGCTATAAAAAATATCACCATGCCTGGGTTCCAAGCAGACCAATGAAATATGCATGCTATTTAGGTTTGCCATTGTACACAGCTCAGTGAGAATCAGTGAGAATCCAGGGTGGAAAAACCACAGGTCTGAGGACTGAGGAGTAAGGAGAGAACAGAGCTCACGACTGAGCCTTGAACCTGGATCTTTAATGATTAGAAGGCAGAGGATCAGCCAAGAAGGAGGGAGGGCATCAGTGTGGAAGCCATGAAGGAATATGCATCCTTTACAGCGTGTTGTTCAATAGCTAACCAATATGAAGACTGAGCATTGTCCCTGGATGAGAACTGTGAATGTTGGAGGTGACCTCATGAATATGAAGGTACCTCTATGAGGGCAGACGCCAGGTTCCAATGGGCGGAGCAAACAGAAGTAGATGGTTAGAAAAGATGGTCAAGTTCTGCTCTTTGACTCTTTCCCTGTAGAAGTCTTATAACTCCTGTCCTGAGTTATTTAATCTGATACAATTAGAGGTTTATGAACTATTAAACTGCTGTCCTCTTGGCCCCTGATGACCCTTTCTGCTACATCCTCTACTCCTTCACCTGCAGGTCTATTCCCAACGTAGAGTTGGGCTAGTTTTCAGTAAGATGCTTACAACACATTGAGTGATTATTTTATCTATATTTTAATTCCCCACAAATATATGCACTCTTTTTCGCACTTTTGGTATGTGTAAACTGGTTTCCTAGCATGACTGAAAACAGAGCCTGTCTTATTTTTAAGATACAACATCTGTAGAGTGCTTGGCACACAGGCAGACGCTACATAGTAGGTGTTCAATTCTTTTGCCTTTGTTCCAAAGGCAAAACATCTGGTTTCCCTCCTAGATGTTAAAATAAAGCCATCAAATTCTGCTACTATAAATCTAAACACATCTGATTAGCCTACGTGTTTACAGTACACCTTTATTTAGATAGAATTTAATGCAATCATCTAATTTCAAAGGAGATTAGAGATATTTAGTCACTCTGGAAAGAGAAGAGACTTAAACATTACAGAGCCAGGTACTAAACTGATGGAGTTTGGATTTCACGGGAAGCTCCTCTGGGTAGGCTTCAATGAGCAGGGCACACTTAGGATCAACATGAGGGATTACAGAGGTAGGGAGGGAGGCAGATGCAGGGTTAGCCATCATACAGGCTCAGTGACAATCTCTCCTGACCCCAGAGAGATCTCTGCAGGGACCAGACCTCAAGAATTGATGCCACAGGGAGGGCTGTGGCCTTGAGGAGGCAGCTCCTTTGTCTGCCACATAATAACAAAGCTAATGTAACAAGGCCCTTTGATGACTGGGTCCTAGTCTAGAGTAAGAAATATGGATACAGCTTGGCAGTAAAATCATCACACAATAAAAGATAGCCATAGAATGCCTCCTACCTGTGCAGACAGAGCTAATGTGGCAGAAGAAGCCATTTTCAGGACACAGAGCCTCCATGTAGAGATGTTGTGCTCATAGCATAGTAGCAGCCCAGTAAAGCATACCAAGATGGCAGCTTCTCTTTAACCAGTATCAGTCAGCAAATAATGCAGTAAGTATCTAAAAACTGGAACACACCTGGCTAACACGGAGATGATGCCCTGCCTTCTTCTTTCCTCGTGGATTGAAGTTTCCTGAAGTAGCTTGTGTAAAGCTACTAGCTATTGACATTTAACCGTGACTAGCAGTATCACCGATTGAGTTCTTCTCTAGTTCCAGCGGATAGATTCCCAGAGACTACCTCACATCGGCAGCCACTGGGTTTCATGAGACTCTGTGCATTTCTTGGGACACCAAAGGGATGTTTTGACTCTAGTCATAGAAGTGAAGTGTTTTTTATATCTGTCTAGTTATACGTATGAGGTGTCCCCAGTGTTTCTGTTAGTGGAAGAAGCGGTTCTGAAGAAAATGATTGAATGTATTGGCTGGAAAGAAGGGGATGGAATATTTAACCCAGGTGAGTACACTTAGTTATTTCCATCACCCTTCCATTGCGAGCGTCTAAACATCTCTTCAGTTAAAGAACCTCTCCTTGTAGGCATGTATATGTCCTGAAGTTGGCTGTTAATAGTGCTACTTGGTAAGCATGGAGCTGATACTTTTACGTAGTGATTTTGCATAAATGCTAAATTAATGGCATGCATAATTAACAAATGAGATGTCTACAATTTAGGATTTATATGTCTACAGTTAGGATTTCTAGGTAATACAAATGAATTCCTCAGCTTGGAAAGGCAATGATAAATCCTCTACGTTTTTCAATCAGTGTTTCTTAAGGTCCCTAAATCACATTTGTTTATTCTGCAATGTCTTCATGGAGCCAAAGATGAACATGTATTTTCATTCCAATTCCATCAATCAGGTGGTGGACAGAGTATTATGGACAACACAGATTTGGGCCCTCCCCCTGAGTCTAGGCTCAAAGGTGGAAATTTTAGCTTGAAAAGCCTCTAAGCTAAAAGGATAGAAGTATACTTCCCTCTTTGCTGAAGTGGAAAGTTCTGGAACTATAGAGATTAAGGAAGTGTCAATGGGATATTCAGAGTAAAGGGTGGAGGTCTGTGTTTGGGTGATTTTGGAGATGAATTTTTATTAGGCTAGAGCAGGTCTATCCATTCAGGGCCTTCCAGCCTAACTGGTCCTTTGGGTACTAAGAATTCATGCTGTAAATATGACATTCAAATTTTGTTTCTGCAGGTGGCTCAGTGTCCAATATGTATGCAATGAATTTAGCTAGATACAAATATTGTCCTGATATTAAGGAGAAGGGCCTGTGTGGTTTGCCAAGATTAATCCTTTTCACGTCGGAGGAGGTAAAGCACTATTCTTGATATTGGATACATTTTCCCCCCGAGAATGCATTGGTTAAGAGGGGTTGTTTTGAAGATTTCCATGGTGATTTTCATCCTAGCCACATGTGATTAATACACTTAAGTATACTGTACTATTGTCTTCCGAAGGAGCTCTGATGACTCTGGTTTTGTAACCCTGGCTGCTCAGTTTGGTATCTCACTTGTATTTAAAATTTACAGTCTGAAACATTTTCTTTGAGGAAAGCAGATTCATTTGAAAATTCTGCTCTCTGTGACACTTCCCTTTGAGTGTTTTATTGATTAGAACCTGATTCATCACAACTGATCTCAGCTGCGTTTTCTACTCAGTGGTTCTTACAAAGTTGTTTGATTGACTAATGTGAGGGATTCATATCTTCTTTTTTGAGGAGAGGGATGGCAGGGATTCAGTAACTATCAATGCTATACACATACATGCAAATACAGATATGCAAGCACACAGCTACACACATGCACACAGACACACATGCATACAGACACATACATATACACAGATATATACATGAACACATAGCTATACATACAGATACATTCACACACACACAGACACACGCACGCATACACAGATACAAACAGATATAAACACACACATACAGATACACAGAAACACAAATACAAATATACAAGAAGATACACACGTGTGTGCATGCATGTGCACACACACAATCAGATGTCACAGACTTCTTACCTCTTGTTTTACTCTCCATCGAACTATAGGCTCGCAGTGTGGACAAATGTATTGGATTTAAGCTAGACCGCTTAGATTGGATTCCAATCTCCATCACTTACTCTCTGAGTGACATTGGAAATGTTAACACATCTAAGCTTTGGTTTCCTCATTTGTGAAAATCAGCATATTAGTTGATTCTTGAATCTAGTAAATTATTCTCAAACCCAGCAGCATGGAACTGCAACTGCGATCACTTTAAACCCCTAAGAAGCTGTTCTTGAGTGAGCTCCTTTACATGGTTGGTTCAGGAGTGCTCAGACAGGTGACCCCAGTGACCCCTTTCTACCCTGTGTGCCCCTTGTACTCCAGGAGGCAGTCCAGCCATGCTCTGAGAAAGAGATTAAAATACATCAGCCCATTGAGTTCTAGATTCAGAATGGGTACACTGTCATTCCTGCCTTGTTTTTGTGGCAAAACTAAGTCACCTCTCAGAACCCAGATCCAAGACATGAGGAAAGTAGATTGAGCCGCAGAAGCAAGCTTGGGTGAGGTCTCCAGCAAAGGGTTTGGGTTCAGGGAGCTGTGAGCAATGGACGCACTAAAGCAATCTGGAAGCTCTGCAGAAGGTCACTGATGAATGAGTTGTTACAAAGACTAAATGGGTTGTTGCCTAAAAATAGAATGTGGCCCACAATAGTAGCCATTATTGACGGGAGAAAGAACTAGCTGTGAGTTGAGTATAAATGGATAGTCCAACTTAAATACAGTCTTATTTGAAGGCAGACCCCTCCACCCTCTCTATTACTTTTGTGTGATTCCCTTGGGTGCCTCTGTCTTTCTTCCCTTCTTCATGCCCAGGTCAGGAATACTAACTGTTCTGTCAAAAGCATGAGATGATCTCCCTTGCAAGTACTAACCAGACCCACCTCTGCTTAGCTTTCAAGGTCAGACAAGATAAGGCACAAACAGAAGTTATATGAAAGTGGGAAGAAGGATACCGGGGGTAAAAGAGGGTGAGTAGGGCGGCCCCTTGCACCTTGAGGGGTCTTTGGTTGAGATGACCCTGGTCCAGCATCACGTTTTTCCTTGCCTTCCTGGACCTTTGCACTGGGTAATTCAGCACCAAGAGCAGAGCTGGGAGAGAGGCACCTTTGAAGAGCCACCTGGGAGGCACCTTGGCCACCGTGGTCCTTCATAAGCTGTGCCTGCAGTCAGAGGATGCTCAGTTGTGTGAAAATACTTGCTTACTTGTGATTATTATGGAACAGGGTTTCCTGTCTTCCTATTCCAGCCAACGCTATTTCAGTCTGAGGGACCCACATCCACCAGAGATACAGTGCTACTTCTGCTCCTAGCCTTTCCTTTTGAAATTTGCATTAAAATTTTGCTAGAGCTCTTTTCTGGAAGAGCTGCCCCAGAAAAGGGAAGAAGTTTGGTGGAAGATGAGAATGAAGACCACACAAAGAAGATCAGTTGTCTAGGCGAATGGAGAGAGAAAACACACTGCATTCTTATTTGCTGTGAAGCCAGAGCCAAGTGATTTTTCCGGTTTCCTTACAGAGGCGTAGCTGGCTAACATGGCCACCAAAGTTAGGTCCAGAAAACCCAAGAACCGGTTAAAACAAACAAACAAACAAACAAACAAACAAAAAAACAAACAAACCACAGAACAATCCCATCTCTGTGAGCACACTGTTGCCTTGAGTTTATATTCACATATGCAACCTGTCCATCCTGATGATTTTACAGCGCATTCCTTTCTGTGCTTGGGGTCATAGCATTTGCATTATTTTAATTTCCATTTTTATGATCACCTTCATTGCTTATTATAACAAATCAATCCATCATTTAGTTTAAAAAACAGAATAACTCAATGTTGTGCTTAGACAACTTAAGGTAATCTTTGGGGAACCAGTGAGTTATTGGGGTTCCTTAAAGGAGTATTGGTTTGATGGTACTTCCAGGGATGCAAAGGGAACTGTACCCGAAAAGTCCGCCTCAGTGTGTGTGACAACTCAGCTCCCTGGGACTCGCAAGCAACTCAGCTGGCTAGAGTTCCTCTCCCCAGTAGTTGTTCTGATTATACAATTTGGGGAGGGACCTTGTCAATCTCATAAGCTTTAGGAATTTTCTCGGTCTTGTAAGATATGTTTACTTCCTGAGCCTTAGGGAATGTTTTAATTTGGAGGAAATAACTACACAACACTCCCTTAGCTGGAGTGGGATGATCTCAGGCCTTCCCAACAGGCAAATGAGTGTCCCTTGGGTGTTATGCAGAAAGTGAAGGTGGAGCCATCCATCTGGATTCTGGCCCTAGAATCTTTAGGACTAGAACCGGTTCTGTGCCCTTGGAGAAATCTCCAGAGTATTTCTGGGGTAACATTGATAAACTCTGCTCTTACCTGAGAATTTCAGCATCAAATTAGTCAGCGCTAGACGAAGCCCACATGTCCAGGGCACTACATGCACACCAAGGTGAAATCGGTGTTCACCCTGAAAGCCAGTCACAGACTAAGCATCCTTGCAGGAACCAGAAAGCAGACCTTCGGCTCAGTGCTGGCTTTCATGTGGGTGTTTGCTGCTTCATCTTTATAGAAACCGGTGCCTGCTGATATTGTTGTGCCTTCTGTAGATTAGGAAACCTTCAGGGAGGTTGGGTTTTAGGACAACTGACTCATTTTATGCCAGTGATGGGAACAACCACCATTTACTTCCAAATACAGTGGTTCCTTCTCAACCCCAGCCTTCTAGGCTTTCTCTTTCCTTCCAACTAATCAGCGTATCTGAAACATCTTACCTCTTTTCCCTTTCGGGACCCCGTTCCTTCTCCAAAGCTCTCAGGTGTTTCTAAATACAGGTGTTTAACTTTTAGTTTTTTGGCCCTTCCAAAAATTCTGTCTCTATGCATTTGAAGGTAACACTGGGCTGTCATTGGCCTGAAGTACTCTCAACTCACTCCAGAATCACTGTTCTTATTCTGATTTCAAGTTTTCACTGAGCCCTGCCGTTGGTTGGTGACAGTGGTGTGCTGTTTGTTTCTCACAAGTGGAGCACTGTGATTTTCCTTATAGTCAGAAGTCACTGGGGGAAGGCTAGCATTTATCATTAGGAAATCAATAGCTGTTTAGTTGTCAGAGCCCATATCTCCAGTGAGAAATAATTCTCTTTAGCTATGTTACCTTAGCTACAGCAGGTGTTACCTCCGGCCAGCACAGCCTGCTGTAGCAGGTAGAGAACGAATTACATTTTTATGTACATTATTAGTCTCTGATATGCATACATTCTTGTGACACCCTAGGATAAATGCATCCTCCAGGCATTTGGGATGTGTCCTGGCTGATATTTGGAAATTAATTATTTAGGATGGTCTCATTTTTCCTGATGGAGCTGTTTCCTCTGCATTTTATTTTTACAGAGTTTAAAAAAAGAACTCCCAATAAAACTCTCTTGACAAGGGGAGGAAAAAAAATTACCACATTTGAGGGAATATATCAAGTTAAGTGTGAAAGCATGACTATTCTTTTAATGTATTCATACCTACAAATTAAATCACTAAGGTTTTTTGGGGGGCATAGTAATGTCCTTTATCACCTTAGTTTTTTGAACATGAAAAAGAATTCATTGGCCACCTGTCCTTGTTAATATATAAAGAATGACATCACCAATGTTTGAATGCTAATTATTTTATATATGCCAAGTGGTGGGAATATATGGAAAGCCCAACAATCTAAAATCTATGCCATTATTTACAAATAAGAAATTGATCGTACCTACTTCCATCACCATCTATTAGGCTCATCCATGCCAAACTTGAGTGTAGTGGTTGTACATCATTTAATACTACTTTTGTTCTTGGATTTTAGCCATAGTCCTGTATGTCTAATTTCAGCCCTTTTCCAATATTAAATAAAATTGGTCAAGTGTCTGATCTTCATTTATAACCCATCGTTTTCTCTGGGAAATAATTAAACTCTTCCCGAGTCTGTGATTATAATCTTTGAGATAACGTCTTCCTTTCTCTTTAGAGGGTTTTGAGTTGGCACTGGACTAGATTCTACATTTCCATTAACTCAGCCATATTAGTAGCATCAAGAGAAACTTTCATAATGTTATGGAAATCGACAGCCTCCAGTGACCAAGTGTGTTAAGACTTTTCTATATGTTAACTCATTTCTTTCTGTAACAAGTTGATAGAGGCTTTATTGATACAATACTTTCTGGACTGGTAAACTAAATCTTTAAGAATGTACAGTATTTATTCAAGGTTCCATAAATCCTGCCTGCTCTGACCCCAAAGTCAATAGTCTCCACCTCTCTTTAAAGAGCTCAATTGAATTATTGTTTTCTCCTGTATTTTATGCAATATGTTCCAAAAATTGTGCTGCGGTATAAAGACATGCATGGGTTTTGATAATAAATAATGCATTTTCTATGCTCTACATTTATCTCTGCCCCCTCCCCTTCCCCCTTTAATTCAGTGTCATTACTCCATGAAGAAGGCGGCCTCCTTCCTTGGGATTGGCACCCAGAATGTGTGTTTCGTGGAAACAGATGGAAGGTAACAGGGATAGTATCTGGAAACTTGGTGGGTCTAGGGGGAAAACCAAGCTGTTTGAAAGTGATACCGTTGCCTATTAAGTACGAAACATAATCGAAAGTCTTAACTCTCTATTCCTTAGAGGTAAAATGATACCTGAGGAGCTGGAGAAGCGAATCTCAGAAGCGAGACAAGAGGTGAGAGGGAGAGAGGGAGAAATGGAAAAAGAGGGAGAAGGAGGGGAAGCTGGAAAAGGTGAGAGAAAAAACCCAACCGACTGCCAAATACCAACTCATTTCTATGTGTGGGGGAGAGAAGAGAGTGTGTTGGAGTTAAAATAGAGAAAACTGTTAACAGGATTACAGGTGTCCTATTTCTATTCCTTTTCCCCCACCCCACCCCAGTTCTTTCCCCTCCTCTCCTCTCCCCTCCTGTTTCTTCTCCATGTTCTTCTTTCTCGAGTGTTCTCATTCCCCAGTAGCCATAGCCTGTAAAACACTGGTGTCACAGTATTCAGGATTCTTGGCTGTGCTGGGCCCTGAAAGTTGACCTCGGGCTTTTGCGCAGTACTCCAGAGTCTACTTCCTGCATGACCACTCCCTCTATAGACCTCACCAAGTGCCTCTTTGAGGCTTAACCAAGCACCTCTGTGAGGCCTAACCAAGCACCTCTGTGAGGCCTAACCAAGCACCTCTGTGAGGCCTAACCAAGCACCTCTGTGAGGCCTAACCAAGCATCTCTTGAGGCCTAACCAAGCATCTCTTGAGGCCTAACCAAGCATCTCTATGAGGCCTAACCAAGCATCTCTGTGAGACCTCCCTCTGTCTATCCTCCCTGTGGCTTCCAACCCAAAGCCTATTCAGTCCTAACTATCTTACTTAAAGATAGTTATGGAGTTACAGTTAGGGATGGTTGTTAGCCTCCACATAGGTGCTAGAAATCAAATCTGTGTCCTCTGCAAGAACAGCTAGTGCTCTTAACCGCTGAGCCATCTCTCCAGCTTCCACTCATCTTTTAAAAATATCATCCAAATGACATGCAGACGTGATAATTATCTGGCAGTTCATCTTGCCATGCTTCTCTTAACTTCTGGGTAAATTTCTACAAAATGCTGTCAGTTTTTGTTGGTTTTTCTGTTGTGAAGCACAAATACTGCTTTTTGGATTCAATTTCATCTTTTCCAACCAAATTTTCTATCAAAAAGAATTTAAGGCTGCTGGCATGCTTGCTGGTGTGGGACTGCGGTTTGCATGGTTCCCTCCCTTCCCGTGGCTCTTCCTACTGATTCCTTCCTTTTCCTCCCTCAACCCCTCCCTCTCCTTCCCCATACTATCTCCTCCCCTTCTCTCGTGTCCCCATCTCATCTTTTCCTCCTTCTTTTCCTTTCTTCCTCTCTCTATTTTTAAGTTTTCACGTGGGACTGTTTCGTTAGCACTTACTGAGCTAATGTATCACGGCTCTGACCACTTACCACGCATAGTCAGTCCTCGAGCTCACCAACGTTTTCTTCTACCTCCACCGTAGCACCTTCCAGCACTCCCAAATCTGTCTGAAATGAACCCCAGACATCATTCCATTGACCTATCAACAGCTGTATGTATCTGTAAAAGATATGTACTCTTTAAAATAATTTTACTATTTTTATTTTTTATGTACGAGTGTTTTGCCTGCATATATGTAAGTGTACTTGTGTCATGCAATGCCTGTGGAGGTTAAAAGAGAATAGTGGATCCCCTGGAACTGGAGTTAAGGGTGGTCGTCTGCAAGAGCAGCCAGTGTTCTTAACCTCTGAGCCACCTTTCCATCTCTGATATGTATTCTTTTTTAAAGTTGTGCTATGATTATATTTTTAAAGCAATTATTTTTTAATATCATCAAAATTCAGTCTATAATAAAATCTCTCCCATTGCCGTTTAAAACAATAGTCGGCCGCTTATTGAGGATTCAGACAAGGTCTCTGCACTGCGTTTGGTTGGTATGTCAGGCAAATTTTGCTAACCCACAGCTGCTTCTTCCTAAAACACCCCCTGAAACGACTTGAGGAAGAAGCCATGTTGCCTGTCCTGCAGAGTCCACTGCACCATGGGATTCAGATCACAGCAAGAACTGAGGCTCTGCTGTCCTTTGCGTCTCATCTGTTCTTTGTCCTTCTTGGATGAGATGCTTAGATTTTGACTCAATGAGATTCAAATAGGATTTCCTTTTTCTTCATTTTTTACATTTTTTGGGGGGAGGAAGTATTTTTGAGACAGGGTCTTGCTGGCCTGGAATTCACCATGGAAACCAGGCTGGCCTTGCTCTCACAGAGATCTGCCTCCCAAGTGCTGGGATGGAAGGCACACGCCACCTGGCCTGGCCTTTTTTACTTTTTTACATGTTGTCCTTCTTCTCTCTCCTGTGGTAACACTGATCAGTGGTGGTTAGCATTGTCCAGGTCCCTCCATCATCAAGCCCTTCCTTGTCTGCTCACCTCATGTATTTTACTGCCATTGGTATCATTGACCAGATCCATTATTTTATTAAGTGATATTCTAATTCATTCTCTCATTCCTTCCTCATTCATTGGCAGACATTCCACTACAAAGGAAAATGTTTCCTCATCACTATTTGGCTTCCCTAAGGAAATGGTTTCCAGGGGCAAGGAGGATAAACATTTTCTTGTTTTGTCTGATGTGCCAATTCTCAATATACTGAGTTCATTTTCCAGCCTCCCCTAAACACAGCACACAGCCCCGTATCTCTTGCAATCATTAACAATTCACATTTTTAGCACAGTCAGTTTTATCCCACAGCAATCATTATTATTTTCGTCACTTCAATTTTGGTTTGTTTTGACAATCCAAGTGTACGAAACTGACAGAACTCTAAAATTGAGAACCTGAGAAAAGAAGTTTCTGAAAAGCAAAAAGTGCTTTAGGCACGTTGCAAAGGAGGCACTGGGGACATGCTCGTGTTCCTGCTCAGCTTTCTTTGAAGTCAGTTCCTCCTTGAGCATGGATTCACCAGGAACCAACCTTGCATTCATTTGGAAACAGTAATACAATGAGAAGCTTTGGTGACTTCGGTAACTTAAACTGAATTGTCTTTTTTCAAGTGTTTAACTCATATTGTTTCAGACATAGCAAATGATACATCAACATGTTTTTTTTGTGCTGGAATTGAACTCTCTGAGGCATGACAATCCATTAAAACATCTTTTAGGCAGTGACCTTTACTTGATGCCATTATGAAGACAGTAAAAACTGCAAGACATCAGTCCTAAAGCAGTTATTGACAAGTCCCAGCAAGTAGGACCACTGAATATTTCAGAGGTATTTTTGAAGTATTTGAAGAGACAAACTTTCTTAGGGAATAAGGCTCTTGGGCAGTGATGCAATCAATACTGTTTCGACTGAATTTTGTTGTCAACAGCAAGAACTGTGAGGAAGGAGAAAAATATAGGAAAGGTTAAATCCACATTGCAAAAGTGTAATTTCTGGACCTGGTATTTATAGTAAGACTTTTTTTTTTTTAGGGAAGAGAACTCATTAGTAAACTCTAATACCTTACATTGGTATTCACTCATGACTGTCAGAATGTCATATAGTTTATGAGGAAGAGCCCAACCACTAGAGACACTTTTTACAATTTTAGCAAATGCCATTTTTTTTTCTGTTACTCTCAATGATTGATATGAATCTGTTCTCATTTCATTTAGGTCATTGACATGATAAAGACTTAATCTGTTGTGGTTGAGTACAGGGAAGAAATTCCAAACTCATGGTCCCACAGTGGGGGCTCTGTCCCTTCCTGGCCTAGCTCTGAGAGGTTTGGAGTAGACCCAACCCTGTGTACAACAGCTGTCTCCCTAAATGGCAACTGGATTTATTGTGTGCGGTCACTTTGATTCCTGTGCATCTCAATTTGGAGATATGGGAGCAAGTGTTCTTGCTCTGCCCTACATTCCCTTGAGAAATAACATCTTTCTATCAAAGGTCAGTTACATTGGAATGAGTTTGGTTCAAACACAACCACCTCTGGCATCCAGGGAGATAAGACTCTATTGCAGTAACAATGAACTTCATGATAAAACTGAGGGGGAAAAGACTCTATGCTAAGTGGAAGTCACATGATTGTCAGTGGTAATAAGGGGACAAGAGTCCCTTATTCATCAGATATTCTAGAACCCCAGACCCAATAGCTACCCATGATCCCACAGATGTCTGTAGGTTGTCTCTGTCATGGGAAACAACACATCTTTGCTGCCATGCTGGTATTGCTCTTTGAAAACAGTCCCCTTTTCTTGTCATCTACCTAGTGGACATGAAGCCTGTTATGGGGCACCCACTACCTGCTGGTGATTAATGTTCATCTCTGCGTTTTGCCTGCAGTCTCCCTTTTATCCCTCACTTTGTACTGACATCAGATTCCTCTATGTGACGTAGGCATCAGCTATGTGAGGGAGTACCACAGCAAGAGAGAAGCAGGTTCTCTTTCCCAGCACACATGGCCACCCCCACATGGAGTACCTTTCCCATGAGATTGCCTTGTTCTTTTTAGTCAAAATTTGCTGTCTCCACCTGAGCATATCTTTGTCTGGCAGCTGTATGTACTTCAAGAGATGAGCAGACAGGTCTTCATCATTTACCCCTGGGGCTGGGTGTTTGTCTTCCACTCCTGTCCCTGTTTATTTTAAAGAAAGGGGGAAATATAGTCCATCACTAGAACATGAAATACAACAGACAGAAACTGACAGCAATAATCATGAATGTATTCCTTGAGCTGGACCAGTCCAAGACCATGTTATACCATTTTCTCAGTATCCTTAAACCACTTAGGATGAGTGGTATATAAGTGTCAAAATGCCCATTGAATTAATGGTGACCTCCAAAGAGACTATGCCAATCTCTGGATGCATAACCTTTTATGCTTACCAGTCTACCATAGGATAGATTTCACCATGATAGTGATGGTGCTCTTTGTGTGTGGATCCTTCTCATAGGGGGCAATGCCATTTCTTGTCTGTGCCACCTCTGGTACTACCGTGCTGGGCGCCTTCGATCCTCTGGATGAGATCGCTGATGTCTGTGAGAGGCATGGCCTCTGGCTACATGTGGATGTAAGTTCATCTGTGTGTCCCTGTCTGTCTGTCTTCCAGGTCTTCCTGTACCTCCTTATAGTCAGAAACCAGAGCTAAAGCTGTTACTACCATTAGCTGAGCTTCTAATTTGGAAATGAATGTCATTTTCTTAAAGAGTTGAAGAAGATTCCAAGATTTCATGCCCATTTTGATATTCTCTGGATTCTCTGTTATGCTCTCCTCTCCCACAAGCCATCTTTTCTGATCCCCTGATGAGAGCAATATGGTGTCAGGGGCGTATGGTGGATGAGGAAATTGGGAGATTTTGCCTTTGGGTCTCCATCTGCATCATCTTTGTTGTATCTCAGCCCTTTGTTTTCAGTTGCTTCAGTTGCAGGGGGAGATGGCTGGAAGATTCTAGAAAGTATCTTCCAGCTCTAAAATGAGATGATTACAATCAGCAAGAAAATGCAAGAGAGCAATATGGTGTCAGGGGCGTATGGTGGATGAGGAAATTGGGAGATTTTGCCTTTGGGTCTCCATCTGCATCATCTTTGTTGTATCTCAGCCCTTTGTTTTCAGTTGCTTCAGTTGCAGGGGGAGATGGCTGGAAGATTCTAGAAAGTATCTTCCAGCTCTAAAATGAGATGATTACAATCAGCAAGAAAATGCAAAAATTTCTTAATTACATGCTTTAATTAAAGCAGGTTTCAACTGGATCCATAATAGATAATTATTTGAAGAGAGTTGAGATAATTTATGTTCTTCATAATTTTCTAACTTAAAGGGTTGGACTGTTTTTCTAATTCATTTCATAGGCCTTGGGGTTGCTCATAATAAAATTTCCTTTAAGCTAAAGGTACCTTTTATTACAGGTCTACTTAGGGTTACAAAGTTGAACTCTAGCAGCTGTGAACATTTGATGAGCTTTTTCATTCCCTTCCTTCCCATCATTCCCCATACTCCTCCCTCCCAGTTCCTCCCCCTCCTCTCCCCTCCCTCCTCCTCCCTCCCTCAATCTGTCCCTCTCCTTTTCCCTCTGTCTCTCCTTCTGTCCTCACGTCTGTCTCTGTCTTTGTCTCCCCCTCCCTCTGTCTCTCCTTGTCTCTTCCTCGCCCTACATCTCTCCCTTCTCCTTCTGACTCTCCCTCTGTTTCTCCATCTGTCTCCCCTTCACCTGTCTCTCTCTTCTCCACCCCCCCACCACCTTCTTCTGCCATGAGGTACTCCACGCTCATTTTGTATATTTTCTGCCCCGTCCTATTTCTTAAGAGTTCTTTTTACAGGGGAACGGCATCAGAAACCAAGTTGGAAGCTAGCTGTGCTCATTGCTATTGGTGTTCCACTGAGGATTTTTATCTTCTATAATTGTCAAATACCTCCCCCCTCCCTTTCTCTCTCCCTTCCTCCCCCTCCCTTTCTCTCTCCCTTCCTCCTCCTCCCTTTCTCTCTCCCTTCCTCCTCCTCCCCTCCTCTCCCCCTCTTCCTCCTCCCTCCCTTTCTCTCTCCTCCACCTCTCCCTTTTTTCCTGTCCCTTAGTCCTCCTTCCCTCCCATCCCACGTCCTTCCTCTTTCTTGTCCTCCTCTTCCCTCTCCTCCCTTGCTTTCTTTTCTCCCCCCTCCTTTTCCATTCTCTCCCTCTCTTTCTCCTCTCTTCCCTCCTTCCTTCCCCTTCCTTCTTTCCCTCCGTTTTTCTTTCTCCTTTCCTCCCTCTCTTTCCCTTTTTTCCTGTCCCTTAGTCCTCCTTCCCTCCCATCCCACGTCCTTCCTCTTTCTTGTCCTCCTCTTCCCTCTCCTCCCTTGCTTTCTTTTCTCCCCCCTCCTTTTCCATTCTCTCCCTCTCTTTCTCCTCTCTTCCCTCCTTCCTTCCCCTTCCTTCTTTCCCTCCGTTTTTCTTTCTCCTTTCCTCCCTCTCTTTGTCCCTCCCTTCCTTTCTTCCTGCCTTTTTTGCGAAGGCAGATGTTTATGGGTTTGAAAACATCCAAGAAAAGGGAGAGTTGAATGGCTTTTTAGGCTAAAGAACATTCCTTTAGCAGGAAGGTGGCTGAGATCCCCACCCCCCCCATCAAAAGAAATATGTAGTTTCTTGCTGAACAGAAGGTGACCAAGCATTAAAGGGATGTACCCATATATAATTTTATAGTTCAGAGGACGTTATACTTTCAAAGTCAGTTGTCTATGAAATGATCTAAAGAGCGTGCTTAGGTCTTCAAAGTTTTCATTAATTGTATGCTCGTGTTTGGTGAAAGCAAACATAAGCTCACTGGAGTTTCAGGCTTGATTAACACGCTGATAGCAGTACTTCAGGTCGATTATTTGTGACTTCTCCATATGAAGTTTGAGTATTCCTATAGATTCACGTTTCAACTTACAGCTGATTGATTTTTATCGCTTTAGAAGCATGACAATACTTTATGTCCTACAAGATAATATGAACTGAGAACTTTTGATAACTGTGGAAATAAGGAGAAATAGTTGAATACATCAGTGGTTCTACTTAAATATTCCATTCTCATAAGAGAAACATCACATACGGATTAAATAGTTTATGCAAAACAGAGTAGCTACAGCAGCTTTTAAATTGGAAATGATCTTAAGAGATTTGTGGGGCTTAGAGGGAATTGTGGTTTATAAGTATGGAAGGAAAACTCTCTGGGTTTTAAAAACATTAAAGGTTGAATTTTTGAAGAAAACATTTCTTAAAGAAAAGACTTAACCTACGCCAAATTATTCTGTTTGCACATAGTAGGCATCTAGAAAATGTCTGTACTAGTAGATTAAACTTTAACAGCAGCCTATCTGAACTAGATGATAGAAATCTAAATTAAAGAGATTAGCACACCCTGATATTTAGACAATGTTTCTCCATCTTTAGATCCTTTATTATTGCAAGTGTCTAATCTGTTGGATAATTTTATTACAATAGAATATACCTTTAGTGAATTTCATATACTACAAGTCATTTATTAATGTTAAAGGCAAAGTACTGATAAAATTACAATGGTTATTTTGACTTATTGGAAATTTCTAAAGGTTGTTTTTAAAGATTGGGTTTTCATTTTGTTGATATCTTTTGCCTACACTTACCATATTTCCTCTGTAAGAATGAGTCACAGACTCTGTCAAGGCTGGTCACTTCTCTGAAGCAGAGTCTAGTGACATTTTCCAGGCTTCAGGTTCTAGCAGAGCCTTCTCCCTCTCACTTGCTAGTCATCTGAATTCCCAATGCTGTTTGTAAGCTCTCTATCTCTATCTATCTATCTATCTATCTATCTATCTATCTATCTATCTATCTATCTATCTATCTATCTATCTATCTATCTATCTATCTA